ATTTCCAGTCTCTGCACTGACCACACAGCCCACAGCATGATAGTACCACCACCATGTTTTACTGCACGTAGCAGGTGTTTTCTTGGAATGCTGTGTTCTGTTTCCTCCATGCATAACGTCCCTTTTAATCAGTGTTAATTTTGACAGGAAATTTTAATTTTATTTTAGTCTTAGTTTTTTGGCTAAAAATTAATTTTAGTCTTAGTTCAATTTTAGTCATTAGATTTATTTTAGTTTTAGTCCCATTTTAGTCAATGAAAATAACAAGTAATTGTAGTCAATAAAAATAAGCAATTGTAGTCAACAAAATACATATATTTTTTCTAATGAACTAATTTCCTACTATTGTATAAAGCACGGAAAAACTAGTAGTGTAATTTAATACGCAGGGTCCAAACTCTTAACCACCACTGATCAGATATAGCACACACAGCTAAGAACAGAGAATATTTGACTAAAAAAAAACACTTCACATGTTTAACACTTACATGTTTAATAAAAAACAAAAAGCACACTGGGAATTACAAAGGTGCTCTTTTTAGCAATTGCATAACAAGCATTTTTCAAACTAGCATGCAGAAATACTCAAAAATAAAAATTCCTCCTTTGAGGGCATGCATTTTTCCAGAAACGTTTCACAATAAAATGGTTAACACCCCAAAATAAGTACAGTACAGGACCTGTAAGCTGTCAGTTACGGGTGTCTTTTTGGTATTTAACACATGCAAAAGGCGCACCGGGTTATAAAATGTACCGGTAAAACACCCGTGCGGGCTCGGGACTCGGAACATTTCAGTGCAAACCAGACATCGTGAAAATTATAAACAGCCAAAAGCATGCTTCACTTTAATGGTCTAGTCCTGGTTTAGAGCGCATGTGCACTTCCTTATTGCGCAAAAACAAACAACGTGTGTGCATGATTGCGCATGCGCCGTGAGCAGTTCTGGTACTTTTTGGGTCGCAGCCGCTTGCTGCACCGCTTCAACTGTGCAACCGTGAGCTCGCACGGACTTCTGGCGTGTTTGATATTTTGCTCGTCCCTCGTGAGGGTATCGCACAGTTGAAGTGGTGCAGCGAGCGTCTGCGACCCAAAAAGTACCAGAACCGCTCACGGCGCATGCGCAATCATGCATCAACACTGCTCGCCCGCTATTTCCCTAATAACACACGTTGTTCATTTTTATTTCTACACGCTTTTTTTTTCTCACACAGGTTGTCAAGAAGGCATCTGCATCACTCTCACATACAGCATCTCCTTGTGTAAAGTGCACCCAATAGTTGAACGATGCACAGTGTTTGCAGCAAGGTGATGTTGTAGGTCTTTGGTGCTGGTCTGTGGGTTGACTCTGACTGTTCTCACCATTCTTCACTTCTGTTTATCTGAGATTTTTCTTGTTCTGCCACTTCAAGCCTCGCCTTAAACTGTGCCTGTGGGCGCCCACGTCCTCAATATGTTCCTAACTGTGGAAACAGACAGCTGGAATCTCTGAGACAGCTATCTGTATCCTTCCCTAAACCATGATGGTGAACAATCTTTGTTTTCTGGTCATGTGAGAGTTGTTTTGTGACCCCATGTTGCTGTTCTACAGAGAATTTTCAAAGAGGAGAGAAATTTACATTTGGCTCACTTAAATACTCTTTTTCATAATTGGATTCACCTGTGTATAGAGGTCAAGGGTCACCCAGCTTCCCAAACCAACTTTAAGTTCCAATAATTGGTTCTAAATGTTTTGGAATCAATAAAATGACTGCATTGCTCTAATTTATGCACCTGCCTAATGGTTTTCAAACAATTATTGCACATTTCCTGTAAATCCAATCAACTTTGTTTCACTTCTCAAATATCACTGAGTGTGCTTCCTATATGATTTATTCAACAGAATATTTATCGTAACAACTAATGTTTTATACAGGAAGCATTAACAAGGCTGCCCAAACATTTGCATCCCACTGTGGGAGGTATCACATAACAGTAGGGATAAAATTTCTTTTTGATAACTAAAACAATAGACACAAAAATTTCACAAAAAGGCTGCAGTTACTTAAGCAGCTGAAACAAAAACAAAGCTTCCTAATATAAATCACAGAAGCTATCTTTGGATTTGGCTCTGTGAGGACAGACAACAACAGAAACACACTTTCTGAAATCTGCTCAGGAATCTTGGCAAACTTCAAGTCCAACAAAGCGAGGATGTGCTGACTCGACGTTAAACAACTCATTTAATTACCACCACCGTCAACCGTCTGAGCTAGGCGACCTTCCAGCCGGAGGCCAGAAACTCCCCACAATCCTTTGCCAATTCATAGACTTTATTTTTAGGGCCATGTTCTTCCCCCTTGTTCTCATGTCATGCAGGAGTTTCTCTCAGAATCCTGATACAATTCCTTCTTCCTGAACCCATCCGCTACAGTTCCCATCAACCTGAGGAAAGAGGGATTTAGTCTATTTATAGTCATGAAAGTGTGTGGAACATTGAAACCTGACAACTAAACATAACTTCACTCTTTTACTTTAATGTAAGTCTCTTTAGCCTGGCAAGCCATCTTATATGTAAACATATAGTCTGGCCATGACCCATAGACAGAGCTCAGTGGTGAGGTGGAATCTGTACGGTTGTCTTTCAAACTGTCTCCGTACAGAAGTGGACGAAGCTAGGATCAATCAGAGCAACAAACAACGTGACAGATCCATCGCTATAGAAGTCAGTCAGTGAAGTAGTCCACCATGCACTGTTGAAGAAGAAGAATAATCAAATACATTCTATTTTTAAATAAATTACCAAAGTGAAATAGTAAATGGCCTGTATTTCTACAATGTCTCCTAGCGTTCTACAACCCCCCAAAGTGCTTCACAACACAATGAGTCATTCACTCAATCACACACACATTCACATGCTGGTGATGATGAGCTACAATGTAGCTACAGCTGCCCTGGGGCGCACTGATAGAGGCAAGTCTGCTGAGCACTGGCACCATCGGTCCCTCCAACCACCACCAGCAGACAAGGTGGGTTGAGTCTTGCCCAAGGACACAACAGCAGAATTCTCTGAGCCGGGATCAATCCTACAGCCCTCCGATTACTCAACAACCCCTTCTACCTCCTGAGCTACTGCTGCCCCTCTGTCTGCTCAAGTCTCAAAGGAAAACCCAGGTCTAAATGATCCAAAATACCAAAGCCATTTGAAATGAGCACTGTTCTTGAGCAAACACCATCTTTGTAGTTTCCATCACAAGGCTGGAGCTAAGCCCACCTGACATCTGTCTACAAACAAATAGACTGCTTTGATTGGCCAGACCTAAAATTGTTCGGGCCAATGGTAGAACTACTGAAGCTACAATGGAGTGTAGCTAGACCGACCTGCAGACCATTTGCTACATGCTACGCTTTGTCTAGATTTCTAGGCTGAATTCTCCTGATTTTAGCTAAATTACTCTTCCAGTCATTCTCCTCGGTTAGTCGGGTTGTCAGCGGGTTCAAGTCCTGGTACTCTCCTGACAGCTTCCAGTAACCCATATAGGATTGACCCAAAGTCTTTTCATGCCACCAACGGTTCTGTCGGGTAAGCTAAAATGGCTAGATCATCATCAGCAGTCACACTAGAGCTAGCATTAGCATCAGTTAGCTTTACTGAGCTATGCAAGATTTCAACAGATATTTCTGTTCTTGGTCTGTTTAGAAACAATATCACTCATGGTGTTTAGGACAACTCTATTGGTGTTCTATGAATTTCACATGGGACCTATGCATCACACATGTGCTCAGCAGCGCTCCAGAAGACGTTTGATTTTAGCTAAAAGTGCATGTCAAAAAAAGGATACATGGAGTCCAGAATCAAACAAGGATGACAGTTGTTGATTTATTATTCAGAAGCAAAAAAAAAAAAAATATGATTCATTAGAGCTTTTGCACTTCCTTACTTTTCATTATTATTTCATTATACCATTTCATTATTGCAAAAATTAAATCTGCCACACCTGGATTGTTCTGGTTAATTGGTCATTCTAGCTAACATTAACTGTAGTAGTAACGAAAACAGAAAATTTTATTTACTCGTGGAATTTTCCTGAATGGCCGAAGACAGGAAGAGTGGTGAACTCGGTCAGGTTTTACTGGTTTCAAAGCAAGACTAACTCTTTTTAGTTCTTGTGATGTAAAATGCAAACGGCATGATGTAAGAAATGTGATGGAAAATTTGGATGACCTAAATTGCCTCAATAATATATTAAAAAGTTGCAGTTAAAAAAAAAAGATGCTTGTTTTCGTTGTTTCAGCATCAGATCAGATGAAGCTAATCCTGATTGTGCTCCATTAAAGCAACAACCCCACAGGTGATAAAAACCTCGGCGCAATGGGGACTCAAATTTCTACATTATGGTCTAATATTTAGTTAGCATTGAACTTGACATTTGGAGATTTTGATCCCATTGGCAGACTTCACTGACACAAAGCACCTTGGAATAACAACATGACCAGACAGAGAGGAAGCTCTGAGTAAATGAACCAGGGCCATCTGCGGAGTTGACCTGAGGTTTCATTGGGTTAAAGTGTAATGTCCTGATTTTAAATGTGACTCTGACCTCGTGTTTGCACGCAATGTCATCTGTAAGCTCCTCTAGTAACTTAACCCTCCAAAAAGGTTTAAGGTGTCTGAAGGAACACCCTAAAAAAAGAAACGATCAAGAAAACCTTTACAAAAGTGAAATGGCTACTTCCTTTCCTTTACTTCTAATCCACAGGCTCTGGTCTTCCGGGCGGTTCAGCAGAGTTCAGATGTCGCAATCATACCAGCAGGGTGTGTGTGTGTGTGTGTGTGTGTGTGTGTGTGTGTGTGTGTGTGTGTGTGTGTGTGTGTGTGTGTGTGAGAGAGTGTTTAGTAATAGAGGTGGAGGACAGCTGATGTCATGATTGTACACTAGATTTCCAAGAGCTTGAGAGACTGGTATGCTTACAAAGTAAAGCATTTTTGGAAACATCTGAAAAAACAAAAGCAGACTTCAAGTAAAAAAGTTAGAAAATATTTTATTTACAGCTAATTTCTTCTTCTTTTACCCCATCAGTGGCATCGATCCCATCTCTTTGTGCTCCCCCAAACAGTAAAAACGTTTCACAGTAAAAATTAGAGCTCGACCAATTTGCTGAATCTGAAAAAAAAGAAAACCTGAAGCTCAAAGGCAAGTTCTGTCTGACAAATCCACACAAACGGAAACAAGTGATTATACACGTCATACATTCAACATGTATAATATACATATTAAGGTTGCAAAACATCCATTCAAACAAAAAATGGAAGCTGAATGTTTTACCATACGAGCAGTATGACGAGTGCAGCTGAGCTTGTGCATAAGAGTGAATAGAATCATTACTACGTGATTTTTGGTAGCTTCAGACTTTCTCACAGTTCCTCACAAGTGAACAAGTTTCTGTTTTTGGAAGAAGCTGATTAAAATGAGATAGCACCTTCACCTCGATGCCAAAACAGAGAAATGGTACATATTTTTGCATGTGAGCGTTCATGCGTGTTCATGGAGGTATTGATGCACGTTCACACACACTGCTGCCACCTACGATTGGCTGTGAAAGAGTCATTATGATGAGCTGCACATGAACACATTGCTGCATTTCTGTTTAAGGCACAAATTGTGTTGAAGCGTTTGTGATTTTTACTCCGAGCTTGACATCTGAAAGTTCCTTCTCTCTCAGTGATTCATCGGCGGTCTTCCTGGTTGCTGGTAGTTTTATATGTAGACTGACAAGACAGCCAAGTAGTCCAGGCTCTGCTAAACAACCGTGCACCACCAAGTTACACACATGCAGGCTGTTCAGAAAAGCTCTAAAACACAGATTCTATCTCCTTCCGCGATTTTTCTTTTCCCATTGCTCCCCGTCTTCTTTAGCTTTTTACTTTCTCAGCCACATTTCCAACCAGCGCTCGTGTGACTGATTCGACAACTCAACAGTCAGCCCTTCTTCTGCTCTCTTCTCATTTAAATTCTAATACAAGTCCTTCATGATCTCCTGCAGCAGGGGGTGTAGGAACATGTCCACCTCAGTCTTCTTCAGCAGCTCGATGAGGTGAACGTGATCTGTGACTATTTGTCGCAGGTCAGTCATCTTCTGGAGCAGCTTGGCGAACAGCTGCAGAGAGTCTGGGTGGTTCAGCTTCAGTTGCAGCTCCAGCGAGTGAAGCACGGTCTCCTGAAGCTGCTCGATAGGCTTCACGTTCAGCAGGCCAGGCCGGTCTGGATGGGGTACAGAGACAGGGAAGGGGTGGATCAGCAACAAATATGAAAGGAAGATGGAGTTCATTTTCTGTAATCAAGTATCTGTAATTATGTTAATGTTTTGATATTGGCCAAACTGTATTATTACATTTTATAAAAGCCTGCTTATCTTTATTTCAAGCTATATAGCCCAGTTGGACGAGTTAATATTTGACCTAAATGTTCAATTTTAATCTGCATCATGTTCAAGGTCATGTTTTTATCAAACAAGTTGACTCTAACGACCAATAACCGAAACAAGCTCTGCTCACATATAAAAGACAGCATCCTTGTCAGTTTCTAAGAAAGTCACAGCGAAGTGATCCAGGTAAAGACAGCACAAAAGGTTTGACACCTTTCTCCACATGCACTCTTCCTTTGACTATAAAATCACTAAACTGATTAGAAACATGCAGAACCAGGAACTGAGTCACTTCTAACCCCTCGTGGTCATCCCCGAAACCTCACCTGGTTCTTTTCTGTCACAAACACGCCACTAAACTGTTATTGATTCTCACCGTAGATGTTTATTGTTCTCCTATGAAACAGACATCTAGTTCTGCTCCATGACATTGCTGACCTCTTAGTAAAATTGATAAATGGGTCAAGGCTGTTCATAGATAGCGTGAGCAGACAGCTCTGCCTATCCACTCAGTTATGTTTTCTACTAGAACAAAAGCATTTGTAAAGTTAAACAAATACATTTAAAGATATTTTTATGGGACTGAAGATAAGCTACGTGAATCGGTGCTTACATTTCACTTGTAACAAAGTCTATGAAATACCTAATAAGTGTTGGTTTTGTATGTGCTTTTTTCAATTTAAACCTGTAAAGGGGCAGGAAGTGGTTAGCTTAGCTCCGTACAGAAACATCAGTGTCAAAATTAAATGGTGTTAGCAGTTTCACAGGTGGTGGTTTCTTTGTTTGTTCTATTGTTGTTGTTGTTGTTGTAAGGACACAGCAAGTCCAGACTTTAGTCAAGCCTCAGCTATCAAGTACAAAACAAAACATTTCATAGAGTTTTCTCACACATTTTTATTAAAAACGTACTAAAGAATCAGGGTTACTTTACGACCCTTCTTGGCCTGATTTAGGACCTCACAGCGGTGTGCATTTTAGCACATCCTCAGGTCTCAGGACAATATTGTCTTATATCAGACCATAAAAAAGAGCATTAGGTTTAATTCAACAACCCATTATAAGTCTGATAAAACTCAGAGGAAATATTTAGTTAGACAAAACAGACCCAGGAGATGCGCTCTGCAGGTGGCGCTGTTGTCAGTTGTTTTCGTTTTCTTAAAATTTTGTATAAATTATTGAATTTGTTCCATTCACATCTCAATAGACTGTGGTAAAGTATTGCATACCTAAGAGGAAAAGAGAAGCGCTCTTGTTGTTGTCCAATTACGTCATCAACGTGCGACCATGGCAGAATGTGATTCAAGCTCCTAAAATATTTGCCTGTGATGTAAATTTTATGTAACTGAAAGGTGCAATATCTCCCACTCATCCCGGATTCAGCAGTTTCCTTAATGGCCTGCTTAGCTGATTTGAAGCAATGGATGTCAATTAATTTTATGAAATTGAATGACCTGAAGACAGAGATTTAAGTTTTTGGCAGTGGACTTGGTTCCCTTTCGGATTTTGTAAAGCCTTATGTGAAAAACCAGATTTTTCTATGGATGGTTCGTTTAAATTGGACAGACAGATAAGTGCAATGGTCCAGTCTGGTTTTTGTCACTTAAGGCAACTTGCAAAGGTTAAGTGCTATTTGCCGGAAACCGTCTTTGAAGATGTTATTCATCTCTTTGTCTCCTGTCGACTAGATTACTGCAATTCCCTGTACTATGGATTAGGGCATTCCTCCTTAAACCGCTTGCAACTGGTTCAAAATGCAGCAGCCCGCCTTTTAACAGGTACAAGGAAGCATGATCACCTCCAGTGCTAGCTTCCCTTCACTGGCTGCCAGTGCATTACAGGATTCAGTTTAAATTGTTGCTACTTGTTTATAAATCACTTTATGGTCTGGCCCCTCCTTATATAGATGATTTATTGTCACCCTACACTCCTGCCAAGAATTTGCGGTCGGGCTCACAGTTTTTATTGTCAGTTCCAAAGGCTCGCCTAAAGACGAGAGGAGATAGGGCTTTTTCTGTGGCCGGTCCTACACTCTGGAACAGTCTTCCTCTGCAGGTCAGGACCTCACAAAGTCTGGATGTCTTTAAGTCCTTGCTTAAAACTCATTTATTCAACCTGGCTTTTATGTAGGATGATTTTATTTTGTCATTGTCATTCTTTCTCATTTTTATTGATTTTTATAATTGTGTGGTGTAATGCTGTTTTTATCCTAACTTGCTAATTTTTATGGTTTTATGGTTTTTAGTTATATTTTCTTGCGATTTTATCTTCTGTGTTGTACAGCACTTTGGGTTGCGGAAGCAATAACATGTGTGCTTTAGAAATTAACGTGACCTTGACCTTGCAATGTGTAAGAATGAAGTAAGACTGACATCCTGTGGTCAAATTTGTGTACTGCGGTCCATTTTTAAAACCAAACAGTTACTTTTTCACTGCCATTCCATGGGTTTCAGTTACGCATCAGCGCCAGAAGATTCTAGGCGACAAGCAAAGATGAGTCATAGTCAGTGGATAAGTAGATAACTACATTGTCACATCTGGTGTTAGCACTCTTAGGTGTTTTACGGTAGGGAGCACTTACTACACTTATTAGGATAGTATGCCTCCGGCATTAGGGGAAGTGGAGTTTGCCGTCTTGTTATAGTTCTGAACAACTCTTTACAGAAGGTAAGATGCAAAGATTGACTCATTATTCACTTCACACACATTTACATTGTTAGCTCAACGTTAGCCCTTAGCTTGCTTAGAGTAAAACAAAAAGATGCTGTGGCTTCTTAGGGGTACAATAAATAACTTCTGGGTCACTCCCATTACTGCATTCAGTTCTTTAAACAACTCTGGAGTTTTTGTCTGCTGGTGTTAAATGAACGTTTAATTAAATCTATGGATCATTGCAGTGTTAGCTCGGCACAGACTCACTGATTGTAAACAGTAACTATGTCCTTCTTTAGTTTTCTGAAAGGAGAAAAACTGACAAACCCCACCCAGCTAAGAAGGAAATCTGCTTTGTTAAAGAAATCAGGGAATGCCTGTTAAAGAATTTTGTGTGACAGATTTATTTCTAAAGCCATTTCCTCTGACTTATTTTTCTGATGCCATTTAGTCAGAAATCAAATGCAATTTTGAATGCAAACTGATGCTTTTTTCTCTATAGTCTGGTGGCTGTTTAATCGAATATCTGACGATATTTTCCTGAAACATTCCCACCAAAATAAAAAACACCCACTCACCCCCGCTGAGGATTATGACAGCCAGAAACAGAGCCATGTCGCTGTCGTCCAGCTCCAGCGTGTTAAACTTAACCGAGAACTCAAACTTAGGCTCCATCATTTGACAGAAAGGTTTCCTGAGACTCTTGAGGAACTCCCGCGTCATGAAAATCTGTCCGTAGGAGATCAGGGTGCCGTCCTTATTCATCAGAGGTGACATCATGATGATCAGGACTTCAATCACTCCATACTTCAGCAATGTGACCTGGAAAAGCACATTTAACTTATTACAGAAAACTTAAACAAGACACATTACTTGTAGTTTAGAAACCAAACTTTTACCAAATTACAAACTTGTGTGTCTCATGGATGTAAAACAGAGACAGAAAGTGATTAGCTGGTGGTTTTCTCACCTGATCGTTGAGATCCAGTTCGATGAATCCTGGGATGCTCTTTGCAAACTCTGTCACTTCTCTCACTGCTTCTGCTGAGCGTGACTGACAGCTGTGGAAGAAACGAAGCTCCACCATGTCTGGCGTTTGTGCACTCAGGTTTGTTCCCAAAGCTCCACAGTCTGTTCCCAAGTAGGCTTCTGGGTATCCTGAAAATATAGGAAAGATGAGTTTAAAATGAAAAAGAAAACAACAGATAAAACCAGATGAAAGATGCAAACACCTCTGTGGTTTTAGGATTGTAATTAATGCATAAAATCAGAAATGCTGTTTACAGGGTGTATACTCATAACTGTTCAATTTGTATAGTTTCCAATCCTTTGGCCATAAATCAATCCACACCACTTTGCAATCAGACCCCAGGTAGATATCTTTTATAATCTGGCATTTATGGATCATCATTCCATGATTTCTTTAGATTTTGCCTCCAAAGAGCTAATATTTTAGCACGCTGCTGAGCAATATTTCATCAAGCTTTTAGAAGATGTTTAAGAATTATTGGGTGTTTTATCACTTTGTTTCTGTCAAATGTGGATGAAATTAGAAGTGTCTTTAGGTGAAGAAAAGCAGGCTCCTTGAAAGCAGGGAATGATTAAAATTAGGGAAGGTTTAGGAGAAAACAGAAATGTGTTTTCTGTTGCATCTAAAAACAAAATGTGCATTGAAACTAATGTCTTGTGCACCATTTCTGGTGCATCAAAACTGCTTGAAACAAGCAAAACAATAAAAATAAAAGTCTAATTGTGTTATTTTAGGACCACTGACCTCCAAGTCCAGCTGTAACGGGAGAGATCTGCTGTTGGTGATCCGGGACCGGTACCTGCCTACAGTTAATAAACTGCTCTCCTTCCATTAAAGACTTCATGTCATGAATGACAAAAGGCTGCAAGAAAGGAGTTTTGCAATTAGGCAGATGTGAGCAAAAATAACTTTTAAAAAGTAACAAAAAGACAAGAAAATATATTTTTTAAACTTGTTTAATCAATACATTTGCAGTGGTCTCTAGTAGGAATGAATGCCCCTGCACCATTTCCAGGAACTAGAAGGCCCAATCCCAATACTCGCACTGCGCCCTATGGTCTGGGGCAGCAGCAGCTCAACAGGTTGAGCGGGTTGTCCAGTAATCGGAAGGTTGCAGATTCGATCCCGGCTCCTGACAGAGAATTCTGCTGTTGAGTCCTTGGGCAAGACACTTAACCCACCTTGCCTGCTGGTGGTGGTCGGAGGAACCGGTGGCGCCTGTGCCTAACAGCAACACGGCTCTACCACTGACTCAGTTTGCTCTGCAACATTTATGATTTATCTCCACAAATAACTGCAGAAGTTCTGATGTGTGGTGGAGTTGCTAATGCTAACAGTTAGCTTCTACTAGCCAAGATGTTCTCTGCGGTTTCCTAGACGCTAAACCAACAACAGCCTTCCCCTGTCGCGAGTCAATGGGTGAGTCCATGGTTGTTAAGTGTGACGTAGATCTGTCAGGATTTTCAAATCCTAGAGTTTTAACGTCTATTCTCTACATTAATGGTAATGCATGAGACAGGTGCAGGAGACTGTTTTTTATGTTCAGCCTGCATGAAAAATTCAGAGTGACGGATTATATGTTTATGTTTATTCATTTTGCAGATGCTTTTATCCAAAGCGACGTACAATTTTTATAATCTATAGGGCATGTTGTGATCTGTGGGGGAAACCGGAGTACCCGGAGGAAACCCACGCATGCATGGGGAGAACACGCAACTCCACGCAGAAAGGGGAGTTTTGAACCTGCGACCGTCGTGCTGCGAGGCAACAGTGCTAACCACTGCGCCACCATGCAGCCCAATATAGTAGAAATAATTGTTAAAAAATGTGTCCTCCCCCATTCTTCTTTGTTCTTCCTTAAAAATCTAAAATTTTGTGGACTTTGTGGTTGTTTGCAGGTCCATCTACATTTTTCATGAACCAAATATAGCTTATTTAGGAGAATGATTACAGACACTTTGGCATTATGCTCCATTACATGGTTGCTGTTGTTCTTCATACATGTTCAGGAGAATTACTGCACAAGATGTGCTCTCACATCTGAAAAATGAGTGACGGAACATGCTGAACCTTGACAGGACACGCTGTAAAACCTGCAGGCAAAGTAAGTGTTTCTTTTGCTGCAAATCAATAATGAAAGAATTAGGTCTGCAGATGATGGGTTCATGGTATCAGCTGTAATCAGGACACTCATTCACACCAAATGTTTCAAAGGATTTGATGCAGATTTTACTTGCATGTTGAGTGGAAAACTGCTGCAAGAAACAAAGACCAAATGCTGTCAATGAAAAGAAATCCTCAACATGTTTTGAACAAAACGCTGCATGTAAAAAAACTGATGATTTTATAAAGAAAACACTCATTTATGTACAAAACTTATATACAATGTTTGCCTGACATGACACAGTATGATAAGCAAAACGCTTTTTATTGTTTTGTTTTGTCTTTGGACAATGATATTTTGCATTGTGATTTGGACTTATTTTTCTCAAAAAAAAATTATAATAATGCAATGGTCTTAAAGCAGGAAGGGATTGTTGTTATCCATTTGCACAATTTGTGTAACAAAATACCTGCATTTTGTTTATCTATTACCAAAATAACCTTGCAACCATCTACTTTTAAAGATTAATTTAGCTGATTTCTGGAATGAGAAGAACAGCCATCTCCTCTTTGTAGAGTTAAATATTTTAAACATCAACTCATACCAAGGCCTTGCTTGTTATAAAAAATGTAAATATTCTACCGAAGCTTGAATCATTTACTCCTGATTTATTTTAGGAGGTACACTGTGATTTAGTAAATACCCAAGGAGTACCTCAAACAAAGAACTGATTCTGGGCCATTTGGTTGCTGTCGCTGCTGCGAGCAGTCAAAACACGCAGACCAGAGAGATCAGGAGGGGCCTTGACCTCCAGACTGACAGAGGGCCTTAATATCGCTATAAGCACTTGTGCGCGGGCGCGCACACACACACACACACACACACACACACACACACACACACACACACACACACACACACACACACACACACACACACACACACACACACACACACACACACACACACACGCAGAAGTGCATGTGACTACAAATATGGACAATACAATTTACTAGTTCTTATTCCATTTATTCTTATCAATTTTTAAATGTATTTATAACGACCCCACAGTTTTGTCCTGCCTGTCTATTTCTTTGTGGACTGTTATCCATCCACCCCCCCTCTTTTTCCCTGTTTGTGTTTTATGTGTCTTTTCTCCCTGCCTGTCCACCCCGATACGTACGCGGATGTGGTCTAACATGCAACAAACATAATAAAGGCTATTGTTGCTTTAAATGATCGGATGAAAAACCTGGAGCAAATCAATTAGGCTTGCTTGCTCACTCACTCACTCACTCACTCACTCACTCACTCACTCACTCACTCACTCACTCACTCACTCGTCTCCAAATAACCTGGAATGTGTCTTTGGCCTGTGGGAGAAAGCCAGAGCCCACAGTGAAAACTCATGCATGAGGAGAAGATGCTAACTCTGCACATGATGGCTGCAGCTGGGATTTGAACCAACAACCTTCTTCCTGTGAGGCAAAAGTGCATTTATACTATTTTTACTTCTCAAAAGTCAATAGTTCCCTGGTATCTTTCTTCTCCACTGAAAGTGATGGACTACTAAAAAAACGCTTGTGTTTATGTATTTAGCAGATGCTTTTGTCCAAAGCAACAGCAGGTTGCCCTTGAGGCTAACAAACAAAAAATAAGACACCTAAACTTCTTAAGCTGATCAGAAAGAGAAGGCCAAAGAGCTGATTTGTTACCAAATATATCAAATCACCAAGAAGAAAAGCACAGAAGTTGATTAGTTCCCATCCTGCCAATGCATTTTTCATCCTCTGGTTTTACATTTTTCCCAACATCTTAATAAATTAGTGATATTTTGAGCAGAAGCATTAAATCCACTTCAGAAGGGAAGCCACATCCTGGTGTTTTCACTGCTCAGCCTCTGTAATTTGAGAAACTTTTTAACAGCCAAGTCTTGCACGAACCGGTTGATCCACTTTTTTCTCTTGAAGTAGTGACAATACTGTAGAAAGACCTCATTTGTACAAATCCATCAGGACAAAACACTAAAAGAATTTATGCCAACTGCACCCTTTAAAAATTTGGAATTTTTTTTTATTGGTAAAAAAAGTATTTTATTAGATTTCTTGTAATCTACTAAAGAATGGCCATTTTAAAAGAGAGCAAGACTGATTCAGTCACCCAGATCAGAGGAGGAATGTGCCATAAATGTAGATTAAACACAAGATAACTGATTTCAAACACAGGCTTAACTGGTGGGGACACAACAACAGCTTTCAGCTGAATCGCTGACTAATCCCTGCTTTCTGTATTCCTATGCCAAATTTTCCCAGAAATCAACATTATTTAAGTGGAACTTGGGCAGATCTTCTTACCACTTTTTCTCCAGTCTTCCCAGAGAGGATGGCTCTGGCCTTGGCCTTGGTGAGGGGGAAATGTTTTAGATAGGCTTCATAGAGATGGCGGGCCAGAGCCCTCAGATCCGCTGCCTCCGGGTGCAAATGCTCCATGTCGGATGAGAACTCGGCCAGCAGTTTGTCCTTCTCCGCCTGGGGCATGCGGCCAAAACGAATGGCTGGGAAAGGAAACAGAAATGTACATTAGAGCACCACGGAAAAACAAAAAATACACAAATAAACAGTGTTAGACTCAGGCTGAAATGTTTCATCTAACACCGTTGTGGTGTTTCAAACTGAGCTATAGACAATTTGTTTATAACTTTATTGTTTACATTAAAGCAGAAATCCGAAGATTTTTGTCAGAGGGCACCGAGGCAGAAAAACGTATTGCACCTTTAGCCCCTCACAGATACTTCCGTGATTTTGGTTAGAAGCAACAACACTTAGTCGTGAACACGCATCTCTAGCCGGCCCACAGATAAAACATCGTTTTACAACTGTTTTCATGTTATCCAGCTTATTCACATATATTTTAAATACTTACTTGTCCAAAAGAAATGCCGCCAACTCTTCATTGTCTATACGTCCTCAAACACTCAAGCATGCTTGGTGACAAAAGTGGATTTGTGATGCTATTGGCTAAAGATGAGCGGCGCTCAATTCAAACTGCATGGGGCTCTGTGTGTGTGTGTGTGTGTGTGTGTTTGTGGGGGTGGTGGGGTGGTGGTGGTGGTGGTGGGGGGGGGGGGGGGTGTTTAGACTTAGCAAACTAAAAAAATGACTTACTGTCTACATTATATCAGCGTACAAAGTAAGAATATCACTTTTATGGATTTCTAAAACTTAATTATTAAATCCTGAAAGGGGAAAACTCCAGATTTCTGCTTTAACTCCTAAATCCACAACCTTCCTATTTTACCTTTACCATTGTAAACTGACGTCTGTTTTAAGTAGCTGCATAATGCTTCTCTTTTGGAGCCTTTCAGCTGCTTGTGCAGTGGCTCAGTTTCCTAAGAGCTAAAATATTTAGACGGCGATCTATGAATTAGATAGAACGGCTAACGTCCACATGATGACCTTCTATCTGGACCTAACAAATATTACTGAAGCACAGAAATTTTTATTCCAGCTGAATGATACTGTATGTTTAACTCCCTGAACAGTTCCTAATATCTAACTGCATCACAAACAGGCTAAAGCAGTTTTTTTCATGATGTGAAACCAGATTTCCGAGCGTTTTAAAGGCTGAACCCAGAACAGAGACATGAAGGGAATTCTTAGACAGCTTTTAACCGAGCCTCACGAAGACAGATGCAGAGGTAATAACTTAAGATAAATGGTCCTGTAACATTTTTAGCAGTTGTGTATTAGTTCCCTTACCGTGATGATAGCTTTGTGATTTAATTTACACGACTCACTGAAAAATGATCCCTATCTACAGTTTTTCCCCTTCCCTTCTGTTGCTGCAGGTAATTTAACACCAAACATTTAACAATACTGAACAAAGAGGGCGGGTTTGATTTCATTTGCAAAAAGCGTGTGCTCTTTTTGTCTAGAAATATTCAGAGCATCGAGTTTAGAAGCGTAGTTTGTTTGAAGTATATTTTTGTGGCACTCACAACATTATAGTCTTTCAGGCTGTTAATTTAACTTCACTACTTTAAATGTAGTTTTGGCTAAGTTTACACTGAAAGTTGAATTTGCACAGAGTCTGGTGAGAATTAGGAAAGATTTCGTGCCATTCAGTGACGTCTAACCGTTTCTTAAAAGGTGGAAATCATTAATTATCCCCCACTTCCATTCAAACCTGCTTTTACTGCAGCTTTACGTGGTTGTGTAACTCTTGTGTATTCGATGAAAGCACACCTTGTGCAAATTAATCCAAACAAAAAAAGTGGGCCTACCACTTATTGAGCAACAAGCCTGCAGTAGTGACACAGCATGTTTGGAGAAATCGGTTAAACTCGGAGTGCTCTGAGATGTCAATCATTGGTAAATTAAAAACCCACACTGGGCACATTTTCAAAGCCTCGGCTGTAAACTCATGAAGCAGCGAGATAGGAGTGAACGTGGGCTGAGTCACACACACACACACACACACACACACACACACACACACACACACACACACACACACACACACACACACACACACACACACACACACACACACACACATAAACAAACCAATTATAGTAGATTGTAACATTAATGTGCAGCACTTTTGCTCATAAATCTAAATGTAAATATTTTGTTCACCAACTCCACCCATAAGGTCAATGCATTGGAGGGTAGCTTCTGAAGAGTCTTAACGAGAAGATTCTGATGAACAAGCTGCTTTCTTCTAACTGTTATGCTTCTGGTAGAAAAAAAAATGAAATTTAACAGTCAGCTTGCCTTTGCATAACTGAGAAACTACTGCAGCAGTATATTTGATTCAAGTTTTAAAAGACCATATTTGCTCATAGTAGCAAACAGGAAGCAGTTAATAGACTAAATAGCTTGAGAAAACCAGAGAAAAGAAAGAAAATGATGAAGCAATAATTTAAAGGTCTAGAACACTTGTTTAACTCATTCACTGCCAATGACGACTAAAGCCGTCATTTGCATTTTTTTTAACTGTGTGGGCATCGGAACGAGCCCCCGCACAGTGAGAACAAATATCTCAGCTCTAAAGCCGATCTTCATCCGCATACGTCACACGTCACGTGATCAGGAAGCAGAAAATCCATGTGTTAGATCGTTTTGGGCCGCTGCTTTAAAAAAAGTGAGGCGCGAACCGGAAAAGCTTCTGTTCAACAACGGATTATGAAAGAATGGACAAAGAGCGGATAAAGCTCAAAACGCGCAGATTCCTCCTGACATAAGAGGTGAGTCTACGCTTTGTTTTGGTTGTTTTGGCGTCGACATCATCCTAGGGCGCAACGTTTTGTGACTCTTAAAAAACAGTAAAAACGGTGAGAAACGCTGGCAGCGAAGGGCTTTACTGATCAGGAAACGACTGGCAGCGAATTAGGTAATCAGTACATTTGCTGTGGTCTCTAGTGGGAATGAATGCCTTGTAAGTCGTAGTCTTGTGATGAAAAGCCCTGGTGCACCATCATCAGGAACTAGAAGTGAGTCGCACCAGAGTTGAGTTTCAGACGGCAGGATCTGGAGTCTTATTTCTGGGGCTAAAAGTGATGTGACTCTACCACTGACTATATTTGCTCTTAATGTTTTATCTCCACAAATAACACAGACATGAAGGAGTTCTGCCGTGTGGTGCAGGTGCTAATGTTAATGGTTAGCTTCTGCTAGTCGAAACATTCTCAGGGGCAGGTGAGAACAGGAGGAGTGGGTTTCAGCAGCCGAACCCAACTCACAGAGTCACACATCAAGTTGTTCTATTGATTTCCATTTAGTGGTGCTGCTACTGCTGCTACTATCAGTGTTTGGTGTTGTAGCAGCGCTTTTGTGAGGAAACTTATATAACCACCTTAAGTAAATTAGTGTAGGTAAAATTCAAGTACAAACACCTGAAAACAATTCTTACCTTTAGATTATTTCCTTGAATTATTGGAGTAGTAGCTTTTCATGTTTTGATGGTATGATGTCATTTCCTGTCATTTTTACAGATAATACCTGTACATTATACAGATTTGTTTACTATGTTATTAATATTGAGGCACAATTTCAAATGGTCAGTGTGCATTTAGTATTTTCCAATGATTATTGTTATTAAAACAATTATAAATTTAGAGTTTTTTGATTCAAAGTGTGAAATGTGAATTTTTCGTATTGCTTTCCAGTTTCAAGAAGTAGAAAATTATTATCAGATGAAATATACATATCTTTTAGTCGACTAAATAAGACTAAAATAAAAGACTGTTAAAAAAAGATTGGATGACTAAATTGTGGCTAAAATTAAAAACTATTTGTTTGCAATGATGTTGGCCAATCATAGTCGAGATATCCAAATATCAGGAAATAACAACAAGTATGACTCCAAATCGTGCTGTTTTCGAACCCCCTCTGCTCCGGCTAATTTCTACTTCTTAAAAGAGAAGCACAAGGAATTCATTTATAGTAAAGGCCACTGCAAATGTGTTGGTTTTAACTGCTACCGCACCACATTGACCAAAAATGTGTTGTATCTAAATCAGTTGACGCATCCATCAGTTCTCAGGAGCCAAATATTTTATGCTAAATTATGTGACAAAAGTGCAGATGCATTTTGCTACAGCAGGAATGTCCTTACACAGACAAAAGAAGGGTTTTTCTTAAAATGCTTGCCTTAAATTTGATAATTTGCACCAGTGCAGGGAAATGCTGTCTGACTGGCAGCATAAACCAAGCCCAAAAATGTCCCTTTGCAAGGATTTAGCAAATCAGATGAAGTTGCAAAGACCTCCTTACACATGCAGTCCTTTGCAGAGATTGAGCCTCTGTGTAGTGAGATGACTTTTGGACATCACTCTCTTACCATTGTGCGACATGCCCACATTGAGGCACTTCTTGAAACGACAGTATTGGCATTTGTTGCGGGACTTCTTGTGAATGCGACAGTGAAGGTCACAGTGATCGTAGACTAACTTTAGCCTGATAGTGCGTCTGAAGAAACCCTGTGAGACGAAAACAGAAACAGTTATTAACGGAAACAGTCACTGCAATCTTTGGTTGTGTTCTTTTATTACTGATTTACTGTGATAATGCTGGACCACTTATATGACCACAGTGCAAGACAGCTTCTCCTTTGAAAAGAGGGGGAAATACGATGAAGACACTAGTTATGGACACCATTTGGATTGCATTAAAATCATGCTGTAGGTGACACTGTCAAGGTTAAAGAAAGGCCACTGCAAGAACAAGATGTCAAGAACTATCGCTCATTTACTCCCACAAACCCTAAGAGTCTCTAAGGTTTTGGCTCCTCGCTATTAATAATTAATCTGAGAGGGAATCGATCATATTTCTGACAAGTGTATCTAAAAGCAGATTATGTTTCAGGGTGTGTTTTTATATATTCAACCTTAGGACCAAAGAAGCCATAAGACTTCAATTTATCACAGCTATAAAATGTCCAGCCGTGGTCCCCCCCCCCCCCCCCCCCCCCCCCCCCCCCACACACACACACACACACACACCCTGTCAAACACGTGTTCCTCACTGAGGGGTTTTCTGTTTAGTAAGTAATCTAATAGAGGAATAACAGCGTATGACAGGCACAAAAACAAAAAGAGTCTGGGTGCTGCAAGATTTACTAAATTCATTTTGTGTAAGCTGAAAAATCCCCATCTGAAGAATGTTTGAGTGTTTATCATCCACGCCACTGAGATCCAGATGCTTCTTTTTTTTAATCGTAGGTTATTTACAGAAGGAGGAAGTTAAAGGGGGTCAGGGCTCCGCCTCAAAAAAGAATGTTTTCTGTTTTGAAACAATTAAGGGATTGCCTGCTTGGCTGACCCCCCCTCTTCTGGCGAGTCTCCCCTGAGACCGACAGAGAACAATAACTACCGTACCTTTAGTTTCATTCAGTACAGATAGGTACAGCATGACTGAGGGACAGAAAACAACACTTCTCTGTACTCTAGTTGAGTCCAGGCTATAGGTGATGGCTGTGTTCTACTAGGCGACAAACGCAACATCACAACAATGCACAGGTAAAGTCAGTAGGTAGGGAATTTTTTGCTGGTACATTTTATGCAATGTTGCTTAATGCTATTCACATACCAATGGCAGCCAATAAATTTTAATGTTTGGTCAAAAGAAAGAATAGTTATAGATGCATCTGAATCGTACAATCCTGGAAAAACATCCTCCAATCACTGTGAACGTCCAGTGATTGGATCTGGTTGCATCCATCAACCCCCTCCTCTGCCTGTCCCACCCCCTCTGCGCGTTCTCAATTTGGAGCAGCTGAACAGGAAGTGACATCAGATCCAGGCTAGCAATATTAGCTTGCACATTAAATCGTTCTATGGTTATGTTGCCTGAGCTGAAGTAATTACTTCCCTGCTTGATTTCCAATCTAGATCCCAGTGGCTTCTCCCTCTTAAACCTTTATGGGGAGAGAGTCCAGAGAGCTCCTGACCGGCACTGAACTATGAAGGGCCCGTCAGAAGCCCAGAGGCTCTGCGGCTGTTAAGTGGCTGTGCGATGTTAGCAGAAAAGGTGTCAACAACGAGTCGAAAAGGGAAGATAACATTAAGTTTTTACGGTTGTTTGATAGAATTTATTGTGTCCGGAATTCTCCTTAGAGGGAAACCTGAAGAAAGAGGATTGGACCTTTAGACTGTGTTGTTTTTCCAAATGTAGCTTGCTTGAATTGTTTTTTAGATATATTATGATCACCAACACAAAATGCTAATCTGTGTTGGTTTCATCTCGTGGACTGGAAGACAAAGGTTTGACTGATATTAAGATAAAATGTTGAATTACATTACGTTGAACATCCTGCGCATTACTTTTGTTCTTCTTTGGTTTCAAATAGTCCAGAACTTTGGGACTGTCTTTAAAAAAAAACACACACAAAAAACTGTCAGGCTTCCTCCATTGTATGATCACATCAAGCCTGTTTTACAGATATGTGGCAAATAAACACACTCCCATTCCATTACAGCAAACTGGAAATCTTAGAATCGGTGGAGGTCGGTCTTTGGAGTTACTTGAATACGTGTTCAGGGAAAATACCCAGAAAGAACCAAGTCCTGTTCTACAGTATTTTACAGTATCGGGTGCTTGTGGGAACGCCGTAACACTCAAAACACTGGTGTGTCAAGCAGGACATGAGACCTTGTTCACATAACATTCAAGCTCATCCTTTTCAGAGGGACCAGAAATAGCTAAGCAGAATTTTCCTAAAAACAACCCAAATAAAGAGATTATGGGCAAAAAAATTTCATATTTTAGTTTAGTCTGTGGGAGATTGTCATCATTTAAGTACATGTCCAATATCTCCGGTGTAGCTTGAACTGTGATCGCTTAATTACAGTAAAAGAATGTTTCTGTCTTGATGATCAGAGCGTCTACAGTGTATAACCGACTTCATTGTGCAGTGGTTTGAAAACTTCTTGGAACTAAACCAAAAGCTGACACACAAAGACCCACTGCTAAAACCGAAAATCCATCTCATCTGAGCTTGGAACGGTGTGCAACAATTTATAGTTTGTCTTCCTATAACGTCAAAAATATTTCAAAGAAAATGGAAATATGTCTGACACTTCACCCACACGCTATCAGTTATTTATACTCCTTACAGACAGACAGACACATTGACTGAAACCTAAAGGGGCTGCTGTTTTTCTGCAGAAGCACTTGCCTAAGATGAAATGGTGCAGAATGGAAAATGTTTGGCTTCTGTGGTGAGAGCGGCAGACATCAAAAGTATAAAAACTGCCCACTACTCCAAACACATTGCTATTATCAATTCCAGCAACATGTGAAAGACACAGAACTGAAAAAGCGAAGAGTAGCAGAGAAACACAACTTGAAGCTAACACAGCTTCCATTTCCTGATCTAACTGTAAAGTGGTGTGACTGTCATTTTTTTTTTGCATATCTTAAGAATTATTTCTTCACTGCTATACAGTACAACTCTATACATCAGTTTCATAATCTTCAGAATGATGGAAAATTAATTTGAAACCTCACATAAACTAAATATGTGGGAGTTTCATGTATTCATCAGCCTTTGAATGAATGTCTCTTATGTTGCACCTTCTGCACTGTAACTGCTCACTGTTTAACTTTACATTGTCTTTATTCTGAGTTAATTAGATCTCATTTATTTGAGTATTTTAATCACGCTGTCGTGTTATTTTAATGTTCACGCTATTCTTGCTAATGCAAAGCACACAGAATTGCCTCTGTGTATGACATGTGCTATATAAATAAAGCTGCCTTGTCTTGCCTACTCCTTTAAAAACACATTTAAAATTTTATCAACATTTCACAATGATGAGGTCATTATTTAGGCTGTTCTTTTAATCCTTTGTTTTTTTATTGGAATTTTCTCCTATTTTATTATTTTGCATTTTTAAGAACATCATTACTTTATTTATTTAATATAAAATTAGGCATAAAAAGTGTTTCCTCTTCATTTCATCTGTTTTTCAGGCCTACCTTACAGCCCTCACAGGCATGGACACCGTAATGAAACCCAGAGGCTTTGTCCCCACACACACGACACTCGATGTTTAACGCCGTCGCTGACGCATCATCTGGAAACTTGGAGAACGCGGGACTGTCAGAGTACTGTGGAGGTGACTCGGGCTCCAGCTTGATCGAATCTGAGAGTGAAAACAACACCAGGGTTAACTTTAGCCTACAATGGTTTTATATGCTTTGAGCATGGACAGGACTCACTGTGCATGTCTAGCTCTGTCCTATAGCTGTGCATGTTTGCGTAGTCCATGTTGGTGAGGTGTTCTTCACTCAGCGGTGGACTGATGTCGTAGGCCACACCGACGGACGAGATGGAAGAGACGAGCGAGGGAGACAGGGAGGACGGGATGGAGGAGGAGGAGGAAATGGAGACGTAGTCTGATGTGGACAAATGTTTCATGTCGAGGCAGTGGGAGCTGTCATCCAGCTCTGGCAGGTCCACCGTGCTCAGGCTGAAATTCACGGGCCAAGCCAGGAGCTGCTGGGTGTCCACCATGTCTACAGGACAAAAATAAGAACCAAGGAAACTTCAGCTGATGCAACATGGCACTGTAAAGTAGGCAAAAGATAATATATCATGTCCCGACATAATGTGGCCTTGATGAAAAAAAAAGTAGTGTAACGGCTTTTGTTGAGTGGAGAAAGAGGAAAAGACAGAGAAAAGGATCAAACAAAAAAAGATAAATGGAGAAGAAAAAGGACAGTTCATTTAGATTTTAGATCCATGTATAGCATTTTAGGGTTAATCATGAACTGACTACTCAGAAAAGGTCAAAACGTCAGGGTAGACACACACCCACCCACCCACACACACTCCCAAAAAAACATCATGAGCAGCACCCTCAGTCCTCCTGCTCATTCCTGCAGTCTGACTGTTATCAAGCAAACAGGGAGGCAGATTGTGTCACAGGGAGTACAAGACGAACTCTGGCAGCGAGGAACGTCTCTTCTGCTCAAAACACGGTCTTCCTCTGCTGCTGTTTGGGTGGCTAGCGATGCGATTGCTCAACCAAAGGACACAGAAGGCATGCCAAGGATGTAAGACTGACTTTTGGGCATCAAAGAACTTCTTATTGTTTAAAAACATGCAGTTCTTTTAACTGATCATCAATAAAATTCTATCACTTGATGCTTTTGGGTAGGAATGTTTGATGTTGAATTTTTAACTGATATCTGATATAATTGACTCTTCATTTCTGATACTGATATAAACTGATACATATATATGCCCCCCCCCCCCAAAAAAAAGGAAAACCATTAGGTAACTAGCATCACATCATTCATATTTAAACCTTAACCATAACTCTCAGCAAAACTTGATCACTACTTCTGCCAAATCTGCCAAACAAGCATAACTTCCAAACAATTCTAACTTTCCCTCAAGTCTGTCATATTTTAACATTATGAGTATGAAGAGTTTTATGTATGTGCATGGTATATAAAAGCTGTGTCAGTAAAGGAGTATAAACCAATATCAATAGTTTTAATGCCAATATCAGCCACTAATATCCAATATTATTACTCTCAATTCATTCACAGTCAGCATTTGGATACATTTCTCAAAATGTCTGGACCATTTTTCCTCTGTTTGATCAGTTTTGGTTCTTTCATCAAATTTTATGACACCAAGAATATAAACTGAAAGCCTCCTGGAAATATGTCTTCTTCATTCTTCCAATTCTCTCTAGATGTTTGTTGGTACAGGCAGGTCAGGTTCTGAGGCATGCAGATGGTCAGATATTGGAGGAGAAAAGTCAGCCGAGATGATCAAAGTCCAGCCATCAGAGATAACTACAGTTCATATAAAACAAGCCAAAGACCGGGGCTGAAGGTTCGGGGGCCAGTTTGTTTAACCCTTACCCAACGTTTAAATTTTCTAACGTTAAAGTCATTAGAGCACAAAAAAATGCACTTAGAAAGCTTCCTTTAGAAATATTATATAATATTTCATAAGTCCCAATTTTTTTACATGAATTTCATCCTTGGCTTCAGCCCTAACAAAATATAATAAAATATGTGTGTGTTTCTCAGATTTAACCCCTTCATTGCCAGGTTTATTAGCAAAACCCAAAGTTTGAAAACTGTACAAAAAATGAAAAAATCAAATCATTTTTTGTGTGTTATGTCCAGATTAACTTTTTTGTGGGTAAGTTGTCACAGCCTTGGAGTGTCACAAATAGGCATAAAAATATTTTTTGCTCACTTTGTAGTTTTTGTGTAATGTCACATTTTCTAAAATACTCACGTTAAAGTCATTAGAGCACAAAAAAATGCACTTAGAAAGCTTCCCATAGAAATATTATATAATATTTCATAAGTCCCAATTTTTTTACATGAATTTCATCCTTGGCTTCAGCCCTAACAAAATATAATAAAATATGTGTGTGTTTCTCAGATTTAACCCCTTCATTGCTAGGTTTATTAGCAAAACCCAAAGTTTGAAAACTGTACAAAAAATGAAAAAATCAAATCATTTTTTGTGTGTTATGTCCAGATTACCTTTTTTGTGGGTAAGTTGTCACAGCCTTGGAGTGTCACAAATAGGCATAAAAATATTTTTTGCTCACTTTGTAGTTTTTGTGTAATGTCACATTTTCTAAAATACTCACGTTAAAGTCATTAGAGCACAAAAAAATGCACTTAGAAAGCTTCCCATAGAAATATTATATAATATTTCATAAGTCCCAATTTTTTTACATGAATTTCATCCTTGGCTTCAGCCCTAACAAAATATAATAAAATATGTGTGTGTTTCTCAGATTTAACCCCTTCATTGCTAGGTTTATTAGCAAAACCCAAAGTTTGAAAACTGTACAAAAAATGAAAAAATCAAATCATTTTTTGTGTGTTATGTCCAGATTACCTTTTTTGTGGGTAAGTTGTCACAGCCTTGGAGTGTCACAAATAGGCATAAAAATATTTTTTGTTCACTTTGTAGTTTTTGTGTAATGTCATATTTTCTAAAATACTCACGTTAAAGTCATTAGAGCACAAAAAAATGCACTTAGAAAGCTTCCCATAGAAATATTATATAATATTTCATAAGTCCCAATTTTTTTACATGAATTTCATCCTTGGCTTCAGCCCTAACAAAATATAATAAAATATGTGTGTGTTTCTCAGATTTAACCCCTTCATTGCTAGGTTTATTAGCAAAACCCAAAGTTTGAAAACTGTACAAAAAATGAAAAAATCAAATCATTTTTTGTGTGTTATGTCCAGATTACCTTTTTTGTGGGTAAGTTGTCACAGCCTTGGAGTGTCACAAATAGGCATAAAAATATTTTTTGCTCACTTTGTAGTTTTTGTGTAATGTCATATTTTCTAAAATACTCACGTTAAAGTCATTAGAGCACAAAAAAATGCACTTACAAAGATGACCAGTTGAACACTTTATTAAAGCACACGAACAAAGAAAAAGTGTTTGTGTGTGTGTGTGTGTGTGTGTGTGTGTGTGTGTGTGTGTGTGTGTGTGTGTGTGTGTGTGTGTGAGAGAGAGAGAGAGAGAAAGAGAGAGAAACACAGAGGGGAGTGAGCTAACAGCTGCAGGCTGAGCACACAACTGTTGAGTGCTCCTTGCACACAGCCTGTCCACATGCATGGCAAAAGCGTGCATGCACGCTCCTCTTCCCTCTGCAAAGGTGGCATCTTTTCTTTGTCTGCTCCTGGGCTGGACCTGGCTCCACTTGCTGCTGCACCTCCAACAGAGCTGCAGCGCTGCTGGACCGCGGCAAGCGAGTGCGCCTCGCCTGGGCTGGTCTCACCATGGAGGTCCCAAGCTCCTGCAAGAACAGCCTTCGACGGATGCTCCTCTTCTGTTGGTTCCAGGCCGGTTCCACAGACAGCCACAGGACCAGGGCATTGTAGGCGCTCACATCTAACATGTTGCAGAAGAGCGACATGGGCCAACGTCTGGTCTTGCGGCGGCAGCTGTATGTTGCAACGAGCTGGAATAAAAATAAATGAATAAATAAATTACATATGCAATTAGGTTGGTGAATTATAATAAAACAAAATAAAATAAATAAATTACCTTGTCCAAGTTGTCAACTGCCCCTTTGCAGCGGTTGTAATCGATGATTACGGTCGGCTTCTGCTGCGGTCCCTCCTGGATCTGAACCTGATGGTGTTTGGTGCTGAGGAGCAGAACGTTCCGCCGGCGCTTTGGAATGTAGCTCACCGCGGTGGCGGTGGAGGTGAAGCCGAACAGGGAGGACAGAACCGCTCTGCTTTTCATCTGGAGCAGCTGTGGGGGCAACTCTGGCTTGTTGCGCCTAACTGTTCCCACAAGACAGATTTTTTTTTTTTTTTGCAGCTCCTCTCCAAGAACCAGCGAGGTGAAAAAATTGTCCGTGGTGACTGTGCGGCCGCTCAGACCCTCCGTGAGTTCCAGCACCACCCGCTTCCCTTGCCCCCTTTCTGCCGGGGCGTCTCGAGTCGTCTTGCCCAGATAGGGAATAATCCCCCAGGCATAAGAAGTGGCCACATCGCACACCACCCACAGCTTGATGCCATATTTTGCCGGTTTTGAGGGCATGTACTGCTTGAAGTTGCAGCGACCTCTGAATCCGACGAGCTGTTCATCAACGCAGACATCTTCACCGGGGTTGTAGGCGAGAGGGAGCCGGGCCGCCCAGAGGTCCCACACTTCCCGCAGGGGAGCGAGCTTGTCCTGCTGCACCAACCGGCGGGCTGCCCTGGTCAAGCGGTCATCAAAGCGCAATGTTGCAGTCAGCATGTGGAACCTTCCCAAACTCATCGTGGCTCTGAATATCGGCCTCCCCGTTTCCTCCCCCCAGAGGCTGGCAGATGATTCCCCACGGGAACGGTGCACACCAGCGAGGATGAGCAACCCAAACAATGCCCGGAGTTCCACGCGGTCAACGTCTGTCCAATCGTCATATTTTCTTCTTCCCTCTATATTGGTGTATTTTATTATTACATCTAGGATTGTTGTAGTTAAAAAAAAATCGAAGCTGTCCTCAATAGTTTGGATGTAGCTGACAGCGAGGCGGGTGATCCCACAATGGCGGACGTCTGGAGCCCGAAAGGGGATCCTGGTGTCGGGTGTCGGGGACCAGGCGATCCCGCTCTTTGATTGCCACAAAGGATGGTCCCATCTCTCCTCTGCAGCAACCACCTCCTCATCTGAACCTTCTTCCATTTCTTCCCCTGAATCAGGCCCTGGGGTAAAGGCCTGATCTTCAGCCTCTTCATCCGAACAAGAGCTGTCATCCGTGGATGAGGATGAGGCTGACTCTCCCTCTTCCTCAAGCTGCTGAAACACCTCCAGGGCTTCATTCACATTGAATCTTCTTCTCATGGTTGCGGTTCAAAGAAATGAATCCTGATCTGAGTCTCATATATGTACTTTTAGTCAATTGGTGCACCTGTGTAAGCTGCCCCTACTGAATGTAAACAAAATTCGATTCTGCAGGAATTTGTTTTGAAAAACAAATGTATGCCTTTGAAGTTTTTCAGCCTTCATCTTAGCTTTCATCCATGCAAATGCTTTGTACTTATTGAAATAACATTTTGCAAAAGTAAAATTGTGAATGAGTATCTGAAATTTAGCAGAAAATCCTTTGATTTTTGATATATAGCATGCCTTTGATGAATATTCATGAAGTCAACAGAGTGTGAGAACCTGTGCCCCCCCCCTACACTCCCATGGCCCACACCTGCTCAACCACTCCAGATAATGATCACAGATCTGTCCTTTGAAGATCTGTAAAGTGCTTTGATACCTACATACACGCATGCCTGAACAATCACACACAAAGGAACACATGTCAAAATGCTATTTTGCAGAATAAGCTAATTTTGTACATTCAGTCAGGCTTATTTTTTGAAAGAACACTGAAAAAGCACAATTACCAAAAATTCAGAACACACACATGCAAAATATTGTATGGCATCTCTAAATAACACACAAACCATTTTTTTGCAAAATATGTATTATAATGGGCAGTCAGAGGTAAAGAAATACAGCTAAATCATTCAGTTTAAATGCTGGGTCAGCCATTGCCCTGCTATATATGGAGAAAGTATGCCATGTAGTGAAAAACAGTAAAAACTGCTTCTTACATTTGTGATGAGACTGTAAACACGGGCACAATCATAATTTTTTAAAATTATGCCAATAATTATGCTAATTAAAAATATATGATTTACATGAAAGTCAATGGCACAAAAAAATGCTTCAATGTGCTTAACTGTACAAAATGATTTCCACGTTTTAATAAAGTAGGTTGAATATTTTTTCAAACTTTTTTTTGTAATTCCTTCCAAAATACACATCCTCCATAAAAATTAGATAAATTGCATTAACATAGCCAAAGTTATTCACAAAAATACACGTGTCAGCACAAAAAAATGCTCTAATGTGAGGTAAGGGTTAAAGTCGTTTTGCAGGGATAAAATTTGGAGCTATTAGGATGTGGTTATTTTTGAGCTAATCGCACACAAACTGCTGTATTTCAGGAGAGGGAGGCTCCAGCTGCAGCTCATTAACAATCAGCAGGTCCAGCTATAAGAGGAGAAGGAGAACACATCTCGACGCCGGATGATTAACTACAACTTGGTAGTTCCAGCCCTTTGCGTCTCCAGGTTTACTCTAGTGATTTTTGGAATTTTTAACCCTTTGATGCATAATGGTCACTACCAGGGGCGGATTTAGGACTGAAGAAGATCCGGGGCTTAACACACACGCGCGCGCACACACACGCGCGCGCACGCGCACACACACGCATGCGCGCACACACGTGACACGCACTAGTCAACATCATATATATTTGTCTTGTACCACATAATGTTTAATCTGAAGCTACATATTCAGCATATTCAGGGCAGAGTATTGTTCCTGTTAGTGTTTAGTGTGAGATGATAGTGAATATTCCCTTTCTTTCTCCAACAACTTTACCTGATAGTAAGCTAACTTTAGGCAAACCAGCAGCACAACAAATATTTTCAAATAAGACTCACAAACCTGAGTCAACACCAGTCTCATCAGAGCTGGGGTTCTGTCGTTGTACTTTTGGTCTAAAAAAACGTCCTTATATCCATCTTCACTCATGCGTTTCAGACAGAGACTGCAGAAGCCAGCTGCTGAAGGGCTTCTCTTCAGTCTCAGGTAAACTGTATACTGACTAAGTAGCCTAGTGGTAGAGTGTCTGCCCTGAGATCGGGAGATCAGGGGTTCGACTCCTGGTCGGGTCATACCAAAGATTTTGAGAAAAATGGGACCCAATGCCTCCCTGCTTGACACTCAGCATTGGATTGGGGTTGGATTGGGGGGTTAAACCACCAAATAGTTCCCGAGCGCGGCGTGTCTGCAACTCAGGGGATGGGTCAAAATCGGAGAATAAATTTCACCACACACCTGTGTGTGTGACGACTAAATGGGACTTTACAAACTACTGCCAGCTGCGCCCTCTCTGTGTGACTTTGGTACTGCATGTTACTTCCGCGATTTAGATCCGGGGCTTATCATGAAAGATCCGGGGCTTCAGCCCAAGTAGCCGGGCCTAACGCCGCCCCTGGTCACTACAGTGGACAGGTACTCAAAATTGTTATTTCTGTATTTTTGCTATTAAGCACAGCTGTTGAAGACTTTATAGCATGTGAGCCTCTCCATTTGGACTTCAGTAAGGCAAGCCAGCATATTTCATGTTCAGAATGCACGTTGTCCACTGAGGTGGACATGTAATGAATTATTTGTAAATTAACAAAATGTTACAAAAAATATTTGTTGAAATTTGTTTCATTCACACCTAAAGATGAATGAAAAAAATTGTTTAAAAAATCATGGTTGAAGATTTAATAATTCATGCATCAGAGGGTTAAGTCTCTGTGGATTAACCCTGCTTACCTGTTCCTAAGATTTTTGAATCTATGACTACGTTTACATGCAGCCAATATCTGGGTTATGATCGGGTTAAGGTCGGCATTCGGGTTTCTGAGTTGATCAGAATAACCCGTTTACAAGCACAAATAGAAAGAGTTACCCCTAACTTGCATAACCCGATGTAAATGCGGACGTTGGGGTAGCGCCAGGATGTATGGACTACGTCCAGACGCAATACGCGTCATTTCCGGTTCTTCTCGTTCCGGTATCCGTGAAAACAACAACATGTTTCCCAGTTCAGAAGAGATAGCGACCGCGTTTGTTTGCGCTTTAGTTTCCTCGTCACTCCGAAAGTGTGGTGCTGTGCCGCGACTCGCCATGTTGCTCCCAACTTGTTGTTTACTTCCGGAGTTCTGGCGCATACAAGACGTCTCGCTACTCAAAAGACCAAGATTCCTTGCGAACAGAGCATGCGCAGAACACACGCTTTGATGGGGATATCCCGGTATGCATTTACACGACCAAACATTCGGGTTAGAAAAGGATTACCCCAGGTGTAGTAGGTTATGAGCATATCCGGGTTTCTGGCAGTGTTTACATGGACCTGCGGAACCGGGTTATTGTGAATATTCGGGTTTTAAAAGGGTTACTGGCTGCATGTAAACGCACTGATTGTGGACCTTACCATGACTCCTCAAGATTCTCCTTGGATTTCTGAAGCTCCTCTGGTTCTCCTGTGGCTCCCCAGTTACCTTTCCACAGTCCCGCTGGATAACTCTCCTCTGCTGGATAACTCACCTGTGCTTCATAAATCTTCTGGACGCAGCACTCACCGTTCTCCTCCCTGCCGGCCCACTCTCCTGCTCTCCTCGCGCTCCCTCTCCTGGACACCCCCCTTCCTGGATTCACCCCGGCACTCCACCTACCCTCCCCTACTCCTCAGCTCCCCATAAGTCTTAACTCTGCACCTAACTAGTTCTGACTTGCCTCCCTGTACTCACCTGGTCCTCTGCTATCCCCTCCTCAGACGCTGCAGTTCCATTGCAATCCACTGGGCCTTATCCAGTGCGTCCTCAGTTCCCTATTATTTTAATAAAGATACTTTATTTTTACCAGTTTGGTGCACAAGTGTTGATTCTGCATGTCTTGGGTTAAACTCGTCCCCAAAACCGTGACAACAGGTGGGTTGACGAAGTTTAAAATGAATTACCGGTATGTGTAAAATATTACCTCTTAATTTTAGAACAATAAAAGGTGTGCTACACTGAAACAACAGTTTTTTTAAATATTTCTGGTTATAATCAGCCACTCTGAGTTTTTTTTATGCAGGCTGAACATTAAAATGGTCTCCTACACCTAGTTCCTGCATTAGCTTCTGATAGGAAATAGACGGTGAAACTCTAAAATAAAAAAAATCCTGACAAATCTACGTTATAATGTTAACATTCATATACTCACCCATCTATGGTCGGGATGGGGAAGGCTGTTGTTGGTTTAGCATCCAAACAGCAGAGAACATCTTGGCTAATAGAAGTTAACCGTTAGCATTAGCAACTCCACCACATGGCAAAACTCCTCCAGGCTTGTGTTACTTGTGGAGATAAAACATCAGTGTTGCAAATAAAGTCAGTGGTAGAGTCACGTTGCTGCTAGCCAATCAGAGGGAAGATGTCCAATTATCAGAGAGACATCAAACCCTTATTTCTGAAGCTCTCCTCTGATTTGGCAATCTTCTAGATCCTGAAAGAGGCACACCAGGGCTTTTTTTACCCAGAGTATGACTTACAAGGCATTCATTCCTACTAGAGATCACTACAAATATATTTACTCAGCAAGTGAACCAAACCTTTATCAATTTTAAGGGCTCGCCAAAGCTGTGTGTGAAACATTCCCTTTGACAGGTTAAAGCGGGGTTTACCAGAAAAAGTCAAAACACGTTAAACAAGACTTCCAACAAAATCTAAATATGTGATAAGTGTTAAATGTGTGTATTTCAAACATAAATCATCCTAATTAATTATAACCTGATGTAATAATGACCTGGATCTGAACTAAAGGGACTGCCAAAAGGAAATGTGACAGTTTATTAATATTCAATAAAGCAAAAGGTCTGTGAACTAAAACCTTTATGACCGACACAGATTCTCAGAATAAGTTAGAGCCATTCCTACCTCCGGTGCCCCCTTAGACAAAGAAATAGAAACAAAGAATTACGCAGCTGGACTAAAATAGTAAAACTCAGATGGCACTAGGTATAAAAATGGCTGGCATGAGTTCTAATTTACTTGCCAAAACATCCCTGTGGAACAAACATCCTCTTCCAAATGCATATTGTTTCCCTTTGTTCTCGTTTGGAATGTGGCAACGAAAAGTCAGCGGGGGTCCACTTAAAATTCTCATGGACTCTGGTATTGTTTCACAACCGGACAGAGAATTATAGCATATGTATGTGAGTGTGTGTGTGTGTGTGTGTGTGTGTGTGTGTGTGTGTGTGTGTAGCTTCCACTGTTGACTATTAATAACCAGAGAAACCTGGTTATTTTTCCATTTGCTGGCCACTTTCCAGCTGATACTAAATTAAATCTGAGCGCTGGTGCAATGGAATGACTTGTGCTCTGCTTGGCATTAGTTCACTATGGGGAAAGGGATCTAATGGGAAAGAGGGAAATCCAGAGGCTAACGACAAGAGAGATAAAGCAGCGGGTGACAGGGAGCGAGTAGTCCCAGGACTACTGACGGAAATCAAACTGCACCCTGGAGATTCTAAGAAAAAAAACATTTACATGAGGAAATCCATGTTCTTGTTAACGACAGCAACCTGGCAGTTAAACCAAAGTCATGTCATAACTGCAGCTGAAAACAAGTTTGGACTGAAACTTCTAGCCCAGGATTGTTCTTGGAAACAATAACATGCAAAATCTGTTGAATATAAGTTTGAATCTGTGAGCGTTGTGTAGAAAAAACAAGCTGTCAGACATGATAAAAGGTGACAAATGATTAGTAAAAAAGGCCTGTGCAGTTTGTCTCAGGTTTGCAAAGGTGTGAGCATGTCCGCGCGTGTGGGACTGTTGTGCCGGCGTCTTCAGCCTGTTCTCACATTTCCACGTGTCAGAGCTTGACTTCCAGGTATGAGTACGCTTCTCAAAAAGTGCTTTCTATTATGTACCCCTTCAGTTGTGACACAATAATAAAGCGCTGGGAGCAAACTAGCAGGCGAGACGTGCAGCTCCTAGAAGCACGACTCATACCGACTCACTAAAGCGTGAGTCTACACCACACGTCAGCAGGAAAGGTCTCAGTTTTAGGCTCAGACTTTATTACCACATAAAAATAAGTTTCAACACTTAAATTCACCAGAGTCTGAGCTGCTGTTTACAAAATCTGAAGGCAACAGCTACGGAAAAATGAAGCAAAATCAAGTGAAAGACAGGAAATCTTTCCTTCAGGGAAAGGGTTGTGAAATAAATGTCATGTTTTTGATCCTCGGATTTCCTCACAACAACCATGACTCCATCGAAACAGGACTAAAGCCACAAATCGGATTTCTGCAG